AGAAGGATACTGCAAAATCTCCATTCCCTCCCCACTCCAGGGGAAGTATACAGCAAAATCTCCATTCCCTCCACACTCCAGGGGAAGGATACTGCAAAATCTCCATTCCCTCCCCACTCCATCGGAAGGATACTGCAAAATCTCCATTCCCTCTGCACTCCAGGGGAAGGATACTGCAAAATCCTCATTCCCTCCCCACTCTGTGGCCAGCCAAAGGTGGTATTTGCCAGTTACTCAAAATTTCTGCTACCGGTTCTCTAGAACCTGCTGAATTTCACCCCTGGTTTGAGGATGAAACCACGGAGTCGGGTAGAGCATTCCAGGCGTTAACCACTCCGTTTCTGAAGTCGTATTTTCTGCCGTCGAATTTAGAGGGGTTTACCTTGAGTTTGTATCGATTGTTTGCCCCTGTGTTATTTGTGGTTGAAGCTGAAGGAGTCGCTGACAGTTAGGATGTTGTAGCAGACAATTTTGTGTACTACACTTAGGTCACTCCAGGCAAAGGGTGAATTCTGGGGGGGGGGCAGGGAAGGGAGAGGCCCCCGCAGGCTCCAATGGAGCTTCAGTCAGGTATACCAACCTGGTATCCGGCATCATTGACAACGAAAATGACTTCTAAATGCTCGCCCTTCCGGAAGGGCATCTTGTGAATCTCTTCGTGTCCCCACTTGCCGCCCTGACGGGTGTTGAGCACAATTTTGTCCTTCCCATCAAAGCGTGGGTTGAAGTGGAAGGGAATGTCAGTCCCCTCATGCTGGCTGCAGGCAAGGTTCAGCCGGAATCTGGTAGAGAACGAAGGGGGGGGAAAAAAAGGAGAATTAAGAGAAAAATCAAGGAACCTCAAGAGCAGAGTTTTGCCCTTCTTTCCTATGAAGCTAGAATCCACATAAAGCCAGGTTTTTTTTTGCCTGAAGAGAAGAATCAAGTTCCTAGTCCTCAAGGCTTAAGAACTCCCCGAGGAGTTGGAAGAATCTGCAGAATTAAGAAAGGTCAGAATGAAAACTTTACCCAAGACCCTTGAGTCACATGAGCAGAAAAATGTCCCATTTCTTTGTCCGCAAATGCATCCGTGCCATAGTTTTGGGACAATCTTGATATCGAATTTGGATTATAAAAACTCCCCATCACAAAATGATATTTTGTTATAGCAATAGCCATAGCAGTTAGACTTATATACCGCTTCATAGGGCTTTCAGCCCTCTCTAAGCGGTTTACAGAGTCAGCATATTGCCCCCAACANTGAATTCTGGTGCTGGAGACGACTCCTGCGAGTCCCTTGGATGGAAAGTCGATCAAACCAGTTAGTCCTAGAGGAGATCAACCTTGACACAAAAAATGCATAGAAATATATACCCCAATCCAGATGATTGTAAAGTGATGCTTTGTCTCAATGTATTACAAAAGAACATAACTTCTCGTCATAAGTAGGTTTCACATAATTTATCACCGCTTCACCATGTATCAAAATGGTGTGTGCATGAATTTTGCCCAGGCGCGTAGCCTTCTCTACATGTGCCTTCCTCCTGCTGCAGGTTGCCACTACCAGTTCACCCGAACCGATGCGAACCATCTGAATACCCCCATTGTTCTCGCAAGACTATAATCCATACTAATAAGACTTTGTCTCCACTTCTTTTAATAATGTGGTAACCAAAACTGGATGCAGTATTCCAGGGGTGGCCTTACTAAGGCTCTATGAAGAGGCACATGATTTTGATTCTATCGCTCTGTTAATGCAGCCTAAGGTTCACTGGCTTTTAAAGTGAACCTTAGGCTGCATTAACAGAGTGATAGAATCAAGATCATGTGCCTCTTCATAGAGTCTTACTAATAAGCCATGTCTGCATTTAGAACAGAAATCAGAGGGTATTGAAGCTTCCGTGCAATTTAATGGATTTGGGGTTTTCCATGAAATGAAAAAGTAATTTTTAGGGCAACATCAGAAATGCTAACCTTTTGATGTCCTCGCTAATAAATATGATTATTCTCTATTACTGTGCATCATTTGAGATGTGTTGGATTTTTCTAACCCCTCGTTTTACTTAATGTACAATCAACTGGTCCTTCCTCCCATTAATTCACAGGGGGGAAAAATTGTGTCCCAATCATGTTCTTAATTGAAAACTGCACATGCAAGTTATATTCAGTGAAAGGCATTAATAAAGGCCCTGGTTGGCTCTTTTATCCCAACAGATATACANTTTTACTACTAACAGAGATACAAAAGTGGGCAGTAGGTATAAAAAGGTTGACTACCCCTGTTCCAAATGGTATTGGGCCCTGGGATTGAAGTATATAGTATATTTCAATCTTAAATGTCATACACAGACAAATGATCCATGTTTTTGCCAATATCACTTTTTGCCAAATTGGGCATTATGTTTTCTCTTAATCTTATTCCTGATTTTTGTTGAAAATTCCTTGATCCCTCCTGTGGATCCAATCAAAATGGAATGCCCCTTCTCCTATATACACATATGTTTTCTATTCACATTTGGAGGAAAGCTTCCATTGGCAAGAAATTCTAGAGCAATTCCACAGGGAAAATCCACTGTCTCCAAGCAGTTTTGATGCCATTAACATGGAAGTAGTTAATATTCAAGTGAAACTATGAGCAGAGATTGGTGTAAATCTATATTTGCATGGTTAGTCAAGCTCCAATAATATGCCACCAGCAAAACGCTTTGACTATGAAAAATTTGGCAAAGCAAGATACATTCATTACTTTCAAGGTGGCATTGCCCTGCGTTGCTCCCTCCTTTTCTCTCTCTCTTTTATAGTTTGTTCTATTTGCAGAGAAAGATTCGAAAAGTAAGTTTATATGAGCTCTAATATAATAGATCTGGACAATGGAAAATCTATCCACTCCCTTCCCAAGTATCTCAGTAAAATTCAAAATATTTTCTATCTGTATAAAGCGTACCAAAAACACTTCACAGAGAGCAAATTAATCAACTAAGGTCATGTTTCCACAACCCCCCCAAAACTTTGATGCTTTTAAGGATCTAAATAAATTACTTTCCCTGATCTAAATGTATTTTAGTCAGGGGAAAAATCAGTTGCTAGCTTTTCAGATGGATATTACCCTTACACAGCCCTTTCTGCATAATATAGATACAGTGCCATCAATTAATTTTAAGTCAATGATTGTGCCAATAACATTACTTCAGTTGCTCTTATTTCTGCATTGCAGTGTTTCCACATCTAAGGATGTTGGATAGTACAGAGAACATGTCAAATCAAGGCTCAAATGCATCATTTTGCAAACATTTTAGCTGTTTTGTTTTTAATGGAAACTCTTTAATGGAATGCTAATGTTATTTTATCTTTAAAAAATGGTCCACAACAAAATTGACAGATAAAATTCTTATGTGCAAGAAGACCAAAAGTTTCTATTATTTCAAGCTAAGTTTGATAGATGAAATTGGTGAACTGTTTGTTTCAACTGCTCTTATGAACATCAGAGCATGATGTTACGAACATGTTAACCTATGATTCGATAGCCTGGTTAAATGAATCATCATTAGAACAAACCACTGCCTAGAAGTTGAACTTGAAAGGAATCTTGAACTTGCATGCATTCTGTGTAACTATGCAGGATGAATAGCAACTACTGTTCTGACCCTCTCCTCTGTCCAGTAACGAATGCCAAGACAAGCTTAACTGGAATTTCACAGCACTTTATTAGCAAGAAACCAAA